TACAAGTATTCATGCTGTTGTGCACTGGGGTACATGCTGTATAGTACATTTCTTAGCATCAGTCCCAATCAGAAACTGTCCCAACATGTAGGGAGAGCACAAAATCAGAATACCACCAACACAGATTTTGTATATACGTAAACACTTTTAGAAAAGACTTTGCTTTTAGAACAGCACAATCCTAAACGGAAAAGTAAGTAGAAACTGTACTTTTGCAACTTGATCTGATCAGCCAACCTGACAGAAGTCTAAAAACCTGATAGAAGTCTAAAATAAAAAAGAAAAAAAAAAAAAAACAAACTATGTTCAGAGCTACATTTCTGTGCTTCTGATTAAAAAAAAAAATGTTTCTACTGAACGAAGCAAGCCATAATGATATGAAGCCATATTAGATCTGAGGAAGAAATTTTTTACAATGAGGGTGGTGAAACACTGGAAAAGGTTGCCCAGAGAAGTTGTGGATGCCCCATCCCTGGAAGTGCTCAAGGCCAGGTTGGATGAGGCTTTGAGCAACCTAATCTAGTGGAAGGTGTCCCTACCCATGGCAGAGGGGTTGGAACTAGGTGATCTTTAAGGTCCCTTCCAACCCAAACCATTCTATGATTCTATAAATTGGAAATTTTCCCAAAGTTGGAGACATAAGATCATGCTTCAGGAGTGCTGGAGCATCTGTATTAGTAGAAGTAAGAACTATCTCAGATTTTCAAACATGTGAAACTACGATTCCCAAATACAGCCACTGACAACATGGTAAAATGCAGGGCTAAAGATAGTATCAAGGTACCTTACTAGTATAGAAATGACATATTGTGTCTGTCCTCTAATTTAAGATTATTGTGAATTTCTTTACTTGCCATCAATGCAAAAATTCTAAAGAATTAAAGGGCACAAGAAGTCACCAGAGAGATAACAATCTGTCTTCCTTACATTGTTTTGTACAGTTTTGTGTGTCATGCTCATTTAAATCATATAAGCACCGTAGACCATTAAGCATCAAACTAACATGTGCCATGCATTGTTTACTCTCTCGTCCTCTCGCCAAGCTCAAGAGTGCTTAACTCATCTCTGTGTCACTGGAGGATCCTGACTATCGCCATGACTATCTTCCCACAGCTGGCTACAGAGGTTTCCAAGCCAAGCTGCAGACAAGAGCAAGGACTATGATTTTTACAAAGTGCAAAAGGTTACGTTGCAGAGAGTAGTTCCTCCTGGTGGGTGATCAGGGCTTTATCAGACTCAGTGGTTCATGTGAGAAGTGCGTACCCACTTTAACAGATATATATAATTCAATGGTCATTCGAATTAAAAAAAAAAAAAGTGGCATTACTAACATAGGAAAATACAAATTTGGATAACATAAAATAGCCGTAAACTTTTATGTGTATTTTAATGGTGTAAGTTAATTTTCAACTTGTGGATTAATTTTATGCATCACAGTTATATAATATTGCACCTTAACCTAAATTTGATATGATCATTTTGATGTTCTTAAATTACTATTTTTCACTTCATAAATTCATTCAAAGGTGTGCTGATTTAGAATAAAAAGCTTGAAAACCATCACACGCCACTGCATGGCGTGCTCCAATTGGGAGCAGGTGGGCTTAGAACTGGGAAGTGCTTCTCCAAAAGAGACTTTGTTAGCTCCCTGTTATCTGTAGTAAAAGTTGTTTTCAAATCAATTTTACCTCAGGGTAAAACATACCTTAAAGCAAAATACTTTGTGTTAGCCTTTATTGAGACAGAAACATCATCTTGGAACATAATGCATTTTCTCACAAATGAAACTACGTTTCAAAAGAATTTTCATTGCGTAGAACTTAAACGTTGTTATTTGTTCTCTCCGTACCACTGGGAGTGTGATGCCCACCTCTGTACCTGCCTGCTACATGAATATTGGCCTGTGCCTCAGTTTCTTCCTCAAAAAAACATTTACATATTTTTAGTCTTAATGATTTTTTCAGGTATTTGCACCTCCCCTTCAGAATAAATGGAAGATTTGTATCATCTGGATTCACAAAAGACATAATTTGATCTTGCCACGTCTAGGAAATAACAGCTTTACAGTAGAGGTTTGCACACTCTATTTTTTTTAACCATCATTGTCCCCCACTACTTTTCAGGCAAAAAAAAAAAATGGATCTGCCCTTATAATTTCTTATAGCTTACGATCCTAATGGTTCTCCCTGAAGATAATAAAACATCACAGTGGTTTTCTAGCATTTTCATAAGGACCGTATCTCAAAGTGACTTACACAGTTCAACAACAACTAGCAGAAACAGAAAGCATAGTATTGCTTTCTGGATGAGAGAGAAGAGGCATTTACCTTTAAGTGACCTTCAAAGTAGAGCCAGTAAAGCAGTGAAAAGTAAAAGAGCTATTTTATGTTGCAGGAACTGTAGAAAACTTTCTTACATACAAAAAGTTGTGAAATCATAGCCAGTGATAGAGAATTGTGTTGAACTAGTAAAAATAGGAATGGTGAACAAGAAAGATACGAAATGGTGTAGACTGTTCAAAGAGGTTTGAAGTTGCCCTAATTATTTTAAACTACATTACAAACTAAACAGACTTTATGGAAGATCTAAACATGTGAAATGCATACCAGGACCAATTACTCTCATAAATGTGCTAATATATTATTTTTTCCTTTTGCATCATTTTCTTGCAGGTAAATTCCTTTTTGATATTTGCAATGGCTGTGTAACCAGTCTGGAATTACAAAAGTTGTTCACAATGACTATGTTTGGTACCACAAAGTAATTATTGCTTAGCTGCTTCTATAATATTTTAACTCTGAAAAAACCAAACAAACAAAATCAGAGAGGAATCCCCACAACTTTAATTGCTGGGAATTCTATGCCATCGTACCTCAAAATTGTCTGAGATGCCTACCAGAAATACAGGAGCCATTTGGGAAACGTACTGCAAGATGTTCTGAAAGTACAAAACAATATGATCAATTATTGGCCTTCAGATTGCAGAGCTGCCAGGTACAAGCGTAGAATCTAAGATTTACTGTACCAGTATGGTGTCAATGCTGGTGATGTTTATAAATGCATTTGGGGCTGCTGACATCTTCCCCTGGAGCAGCTGCGTGAAGAATTGGAAATCATGAACAATTACTCCAAACTGCATGATTTTGCAGCTACAAAGGAAAACAAGAAGGCTCTGAATTAAAAATACTGAAGAGCAAATGAAAACATGACATAGTAGAAGTGCCTGTATTCTTTTGGGTACCAACTTGCACACTAGCCCTCTGTGCCTTTACTTTCAAGAGTAGTGTTTTTCAAGTTGGGCTTGGACTCCTTTTTGCCTTTATTTGGAATGTTTTAGATTGCTTACATAAAGTAACCTGAATACAGCTCTAGTACTCCAGTGAAATTTAAAGCTGATTTCCAAAGTCTTTCTGCACAAAGGTCTTCCTAGCCAACCTTAAAAACTTTCTATTTTAACGAACTACCTTCTATTTTATTTCTCTTTCTCATTATCAGAAAGCCCTACAAAACCATGCAACTAAATGATGTCAGTGTATCCATTTGTGCACTCAGATGTACTTGTCAGAAAACAGTTTCCTTTTATCTACCATCAAAACAAAACCACTTTCAATAGCACTACTGGAGAAACGTGGGGGGGGAAACCAAAACAAACAAACAAAAAACAGAAAACCTTCTTCCAATAATGTAGGAGGTTTTTTTCCCCTCTTTTCTCAGATAATTTTCTGACTTCCTGATTTCCATGAATTTGTTTGTACCCTATAGTAAGTTAACAGATTTTTAACCTAACAAACTAGAATACTTTTACGTAACAAGATCTTTTTTTTTTTTTTTTTTTTCCCAATTATTTGCTCAGTATGTTTTAGATGGTGTGGCTGGTCACTAGCGTTCCATTGCATATGTTGTATTGTACAGTTAATGTACCAAAACAAAAAAATACATACTCTTCCTTGCATAGAGATTCCCCAACTCCTTTTTAAATTTTGTATCAGGCAGCTACTGCTTGAATGTTTATGGACATCAAACAAAATAGCTATTTTGAGTAGTCAGTGAAAGCTAAACACCTGTTGCTTGCTGGCATTGCATTTGCAGTGACCGCTCTCTCCTCAGGTGTACCCTCAAAACTTTTGGACTAGGCAGGGGTGATCCTGTTCAGGTATGACAAGCGATGACACTCCCACCAGCATCCTCACTTCTTGTACAAATATGTTTTGCACAGGTGAATATTAGCATGGCCTGAAACTCTATTTTTCTTAAGTTACAGGACTTAGGCTGGCGTCATCTCTCCTTTGAGGGTACGAAATTTGTGTTCATGCATGTGTGTATGCATAAAGATAAAACAAACCATAGTACACTATCGAAGGACAAGATAAAATCACTCTTTTTCTCCTCTTCAGAAGACGAGTAATTCAGTTTTCTACTCAGCCCCCAAGAAGTGCTGGGAAGTGGCTTCAAGCTTTCAACTGAGGAGCCAGTCAAAGATTCAGCTTCCTGCACAGAGCTGCAGACCCTACTATATAGGATTTAATGTCTCCGCAAACCAAACCTGAGTTTATATCTCTGTAAATTTACCCACGGGTTTATTAAGATTATTAAAAAAAAAAATCCTTCCTCTATTAGACTGAGTTCCTACCCTTAACTGTCAAACTGGAAAGGGATTGAGAGTTATACTTGCAGCTAAGCAGCCCTTAATCCAGTCCTTCAGGTTTATGCAAGATAGCAGATCGGATAGGTGCCTCGGAGATATGGTACCCTTGGGATTTCCTTGGTATGCTTCACCTGGACCTCATCTTCCTCTTACAGTATTTAAATGATCAGCAACAACAGTATAGGAAATATTTGAGTCAGAACGTTTTCACATCTGACAAAGAGGGGAGGGTGTTTTCATCCGCCCAGGGCTTTCAAAAGCAGGAAGATTGACTTTCAGTGGATATGTGGCTTTGTGACTCAGGAAGGAGTTGCTTGTTAGACGAAGTCATCTGTTGTTTCTTTTCTCCTTTCAGATGAACAGAGCATTCTGCCATGTAAAAAAGAAGAACTACAGTGTGGTGACGGACTCTGCCTCTTAAACTGGCTGCGCTGTCGCTATAAGAAGGACTGTGGCAGAGACTACATGTCCATCAAACTAACGTGCTCAAGTGAGTTACCCTTCACTTTCCTAAATCATGACACAATGTCCTACGAATGTGAATCCATTTTCTCACTGAATCCGTGTTTGTAGAAATACCCTGTTCTAAACATTAGATTTGATCTAGTTTTGTTGTTGCAAGGATATGGATATTTAGAGGTTTATTTATTCATATGGCTAAGTCACTTATGCTGTATGCTGATTTCAAGCAGAATAGTAGACAAATCAGCAGTAGTGGGAATGGAAGATTTGGTCGAGCTCAAAATGCATTAAGCTAATGTATTTTGAAGGCTGCTGCTCTGAAATGCCAGTTGAGGGGGAGAAAGGACAAAAAAAAAAAGCCTAAAAAAGTCGTCCTTGCCGGAAACAATTAGACACTGGCAGCTCTGTAGAGCTGTGACTGCTGGCCAGACACTCCACATTTGGAAGTGTTAATGTGAATAAACGAACTGCCAGCTGATTAAAATAATACTTGGGCAGGGAAGAGGTAAGAAGTACTGTCAAGTCAGAGATATCCAGTGTATTTAAAGGAGTCATAGGGTAACATCTGTAAACAATGCAGATCGTTTTAGCACCAAATTTGTTGCAAATAACTTGAAAGATGAGTTTGAGAATTTCCAGTGAACAAAAGTGTGGTGTAATCTCAGCAATTGCTGTTTAGTAGCAAACTTGGTGATTTAACTATCTCAGCTTTTTCTGGTTTTACTTTTTCCTGGTTATGCTTACTTGTTCATTTCAAGCTACAGTTTCAACTCTGAAACCTTCCTTTTAACACACCCATTTTGTAACTGGCAACATCTAAGAGGGGAAATTACTTTCAGACTTCTATTCTGCATGGTACAAGCAGGGTGGATCACATACTGCTGTCACTAATTACTTGCCAAAAATATTTGCAGACGTAGGGTTTTTAGTTAACACAACATTGTACGCAGAAGAACGTAGCTGCAATTTTTAAAGACCAGAAGTTGCAAAAGGGAGAGCAGATTGACAGCTACTAGCAATACACTTCAGATGAAAGTAAACCAAAAAATGAGTTTGAGGAGTGAGCCTATTACGTCCAATCCTCTAATTGGCATTCAGATGCATGGAGACAAGATAGAGCTAATCCACAGTAAGACCCTCAACACCAGCAGTTTAGTCTGACAGATTTGTGTCTGTCACAACCCACCACCTGGCTTTACAGTGGAGTTCAAACACTCTGCAATACAAGCACTCTGTAGAATTGATCATAGTCCATTAAGTAAAGCAGGATTCGGGTCAAATCCATGGAGCACAAAAGATCATGGGTTTATAACTGAGAATTCAGAAGGGCTACAGTTAACATGCATGGGAGGACACACAAGACCTGAATTTAGGCAAGACCTCAGATTCTTATGCTCTTAATTCCTAATCTAATCAGTGCTAGATGTGTGGTTTCATTTTTTCTCTGAAAAAACATATTGGAGGTGGTCAAGGAAGATTTGATGGAAAGACATTGTTTTGATGATCTTGCATCTTGCCTGGATCACATGAAAACCTTTCAGCAACTTACATCACACACAAGTATGCATTATTTTCTGCCTTTCAATAAAGGTGTGCATAAAATAATTAGTGAGTACATAAAATAATTAGTGAGTGACAACAAATTCTTTTTAATATATGTAATTATATATTTTTTTCTAAATGCAAAGCTGCCAATTCAATGCTAATAAGAAAAAATCACAACAATGACAGCTGACAAAAGAGAGTCAAATAGTCACAGGTTTGCTGTGAACACATTACAATAGTTAAGAGCTTAAAACCACAAAACAAACAGATCATTTGCAATGATTACAGAAGCACACACAAATCAGAAATTGCCTAGAGGAAAAATTCATTCTTTTTCAATGGAAAAACTGATTTGCTGTTCACAACTGAACCTGAGAGCAGAGTGTTATCCAGCGAGGCACTAATATCTGTCACTTTATGAATACTTCACAGTCACAGAATACGGTGCCAAAGCACCTCTATCATGTCTTGGTTTTGCTGAATAACAGCAAGACCTGTTAGAAGATCAGCACCGCAGGAGGAGTCCCCGAGCGGGCTGCATGGGTCCGGGGCACGGCAGTGGAGCACCCCGAGCAAGAGCTACTCGAGGTGCTGCTGTTGTTCCACTTGGCTTTCATGGACACAAACAAGACACAGTGGTTTACTTCCGTCAGACAGAAGGCACGCTGCAATTCCCCATTCCCAGAAGACTGAGATCAAACACCAAGAAGCAGACTAATGATAGAGTGAAAGGGAAATGACTTTCAAATCACATCCTGCTCACTGTGTCATTAATGCCTAACCTAATATTCTGGATTCACATACTTAGGTGTCGTGACGGAATAAAATTATAACCTTTTGTTTTAGCATTTATAAAGTCAGATACAATAGTGTCTGTAATGGGAGCTCACTGTACCAGTAACCACCACCATGTATCAGCTATGCAGGTAAGCAGGATTCAGAAATGGGAAGGGCACAGGAAAAAGAGATGCTAAGAAAGGAGTTCAGAAATAAATACCTAGGAAAGGGGAAAACCAAAACTGACAGCTCTTTCACAACCCATATTACACCAGTTTTCCTCTCATGTATCTCAGCGAAATCTCTTGCGGCCCACTGCTGTAAGAAAAGAATGAGGTCATGGTATTTTGAGGATATCCACCACTATTTTGGGCAGTCCAGTCGCACTGAACTCTTGACATTATTACTTGTCCAGTCATGAGGAAATGGCAGACATTCAATATTTCTTATTTGAGACAGTAAGAAAGATCCCAGAGGGCTTACACACAGAATGGTGATTATAAAGGAATGGTATTTTACACACCCTTTCAGACCTAGGCATGTACAGGAAAAGCTTTGCAGCTAGCCACAGTAAAGTGAATTTTCAGGGAAGAGAAGGAAATCAGGAAAATCTTGAGTCCTCAAAATCAACATCCACACTATCTGCTGAGAGTAAGAACAGACTTTCCAGTGAGGCTATATTCCAGTAGAGATTTCCATCATACATTTGGTATATTGCTACAAGATGGAAAATGTCCGTGTTACTGCTGCAAACTATAGTCTAGTTCTGGGAGGAAGAGCTTCAGCAAGTGTCGGATCAAACAAGAAGAATGCGGGGTAAGTTATTTTGAGAGGAGGAAGACTGTCTTGGTTTTGCAGCACCTCACACATCCAGTTTCCTAACCGTGGCTTCTAGGCATTGTGGTGATGTAAGTAAAGAATAACAGTATCAGTCAGTGTGTTGAGCCATAGCTCTGATTTCCTGCAAGGCTGTTTATGGAATCACAGTAATCCACAGCAGCTTGACAAGCTACGGGTGTGCATTCATAGACGTGATTCTTACACAACCAGCAGTGTTTGTTTACCAACAGGTGACCTGTGCATACCCATATATAAACACAGCTCTGTAAAAGAGGTGCCTTAACATAGAAAGAAGAAAACAAAGCAGGAATTAATTTCATATTGTAGTGTAATAAGTCCTCACAATTCACTTAATTTTTACCCTCCATAGTCATCTTGGCTTTCAGAGACAAAATAGTTACTTCCTTAGCTTACCCTGGGAGTTTAATTTTAGCATTTAAGAAGCAAAACACTGGCATAAAAGTTTTTCATTTAATGTGTGGCTACCATGAAATTCAGCCTAATGGGACAGAACACGAACTATTTAAGTGTATTGCAAGTATGAATATATTTGTCTATTCCTTCCTGTGTCAGTCAACCAGAATCACCCTATGAAAGAACGCATTCCTGTATCTTTCTTCCTCTCTCTTTTCCTTGTGCTTCCTTTTCTTAACTTGATCCATGGCGATTTTTCACTGTTAAATCCTCTTGAATCAGAAGCAGAACCAGTGCTAAGTCTTAGCAAAAGCATTGTACTGCAGGGACTCAAGGCAAGCTGCCCTGAGAAGCAATGCATGGATTTGTTCCAGTTGAGAAAACAAGCTACTATTTCCCTTGTCGTAAGAGGAAATCAAATGTATAATCTTTGCTCAAGGGTTAACCATACATTGCTCAGCAAAATAGCGGTGATCTGCAGCACTGAAGATGTACTTGCCTTTGCCTACTGTTTTTCCAGGCCTCTAGCCAGCCATTTAGCATAGAAGCTTACATGTGTACAAAGATTTTAGGTATCATTTAGTGTCTCAAATTACCTATGTGGGGTTTTTTTTAAGGATGTATTATGTATCTAGAGACTTTCCTGAAACCATGAGAAAGTAGTATTAAAGGCTAGAATTCTGCTTCAGATTTAAACATATGTTTTCATGGGAACCACACACTTTGCCCACTGAAGCCAAAGATAGTCATAACCTGTGCAATCCTTGCTCCCACTTCCAAGGGTTACATGACTGGAGTCTTTTGTACCAAAGAAGTTAAGTGTCTTATGTCACTTGATACTTCTCTTTTTATTAGTAAAGTAATTAAACACTGCATGAAACCTTAAAATAACTCTGCCATGAAGACCTTACTTAAGGCTCATAGTAACAGGAGCCAGGTTTATGTTTGTTCTAAAAGCTGCATCTACACAGATAATCCCACAGATTACCTTTCTATTACGTACCACAGGCCATTTGGATTAATAATCTCCATCACTCTCTATGCAGCTTTATATAAACTCACGTAGGTAATCCTGCTTGTGGAAAGATCTCTCTAGATAATCCTGCCTAGAGTCAACTGGGATGTTTAACATAATCTTGTCATGAGGAAAGCAGGTTTAAATACTATCCAGACTTTGATTTTGGACAGTTCTTGTCAGAAAAGCAGATTCCAAGGGAGGCAAAGGACTGTTATTTAAACAGATATTACGTGAACATAAGAGTGACAACAGTCATTGAAAATATTATATTTTAACCTAATGAATGCATTCTTTTGTTTCCATTCATTCCAAGTTAAATCTGTTAGATGTCCTTTTAAAGTTATTCCAACTGAAGAACAGGAATTTGTCATTTCATAATCTCCTTGCAAATTTGTATCCAGGCTTCTCCTAGTACTTGCAAACAGTTTCAGGGA